ATTAAAAACCTTAGGATCATAATTTATGAATCAAGTATACTTACCTTCTCCACCCCAATCTATGTGAGTTTATCTAATGAAGATGTTGGTACATTTGCTGCTATTGTGGCAGAATACAATAGAAGAATGTGTAATTCAGATTGCATTCTGATTCAATGAAGTAGAGGAAACAATTGGTGTATCTATTTTAAAATACATTTTACTGTTGCTATATATTCTCATCATCACTTGGAAGTCAATAGCAAATAGTTTATATGAGCCTATTGAACTGAAATGGTCCATGAGTAAAACATTTTTGACTCATATGGATTTATGTTAGTAAACACATTGAGAGAGGCATTTAAAGCCCTCGGATCCAAGGACCCACCACTGAGATTTATCAGCATTAAGAGAGTGCTTGAAGGGTTTCAAACACTGCGAGAAATAAGTTATTTTATGGGATTCCATAGCCTCCACCTTGGCCACTCTGTTTGACCATGAAAAGTATAAAATGTTGTCCGAAGAACTCTAGTCTTTCTCAAAGGAGATAATGGACCGTGATAATTCCAGCAGTCTTTCGTATACTTTTTGATAATGGAGCAGCTTGATAGGAAAAAAAGTAGACTTTTTAACACACAATTTTAAAAATATGAAATATAAATTGTTATGTCCAGAAAATTCTTAAAATCTTTTTTTTTGCTCTTTGTCCCAAATCATTATGCTTATTTCCCCAAATATAAATTCTGTATCTGTAATAATGCTGACTACGTACATAATATCATTTCAGACTGATAATCACAATTATCATCACTAGTTTTACATTTCAAAGAACCACTTTTCAGAGAACCAGTCATTTATGTGATTGAGGAATAGTATAAAATATCAGAAAAATAATGATGAATTAAGTTGAACAAATCTAAATAAAATCATGCAAATAAAATGAAAATGTGTATGCACTGAGATAAAATGTATCCTGTAAGTAAGTGTCATGAGAGGACAAGTTAGTCAATGAAGCTGCAGCAATAAATGAGTAGATGTAAAGAATATAAAAGACATAGTAAGTAGGATATGCCCTGAAGAGAAGGAGAAACCATGATATTTTGGATGGTTTTGAATTTATCCTTGGTTCCAATTAAAGTCCTTTTTATGAAATGGTATCAAAGACTAAGTCAATATATCAATTTACCAGAGACAACCACATATTTGCCAACGAAATATGTGGTTGTCTCTGGTAAATCAAGGTTTTATTTTAATAGTATGTGAAGCTTTTCAGTACAAAGTAGATTAATTAAATGCTAAAGATAAGAGATCAAAACCAAGTAATTTCCTTAGAAAGGTTAAAAAAATAAGAACTATAGCATAGAGTACATTTAACAAGTTTAAATTAGATGCAAACACAGTGATCAATATTATGCTTGGAAGAAAAGTAGAATATATATTTAAAATTATTTTATCAACTAATTTTTATAGTCATCTGCATTTATGGAATGATATACTTGGGATCAGATTATATACAATTAAGATAGGTGACACTTTATATGCTAATTTATAATTAAGATAGATGACACTTTTATGCTAACTCATTTCTTCACAGAGAATAGTTTGTGGTTAATGATTAATTTTGAAAGAAAAGTGAAAACAGTCAACATGATCAAAATTGAGCCACTGTGTAAATAAATAAATATTATGGTCAAAGAATTGAGCAATGAATGTGCGGCAAAATTGTCACCCAAAATATTCATGTCTGAATCCTTGTTACATATGAAGGGGTTCCCACATATGCAAAAGGGACTTCTTAGATGAGAGTTGAGCTGGAGATAGCTTACCCTGGTTTCCTCATTCTCTTGTCAGCTCAGTGTAATCATAAGGATCCTGGCAAGAGGGAGGCAAGGGGCTTTGTCAGAAAATAATATGTGGCAAAAACAGAAGTCACTGACTTACATTCCAGTCCTTTTCATATTTTGAGACAGGGTCTAATTAAGTTGTTGAGACTGGCCTCAAAATTGTGACTTCTGAAATTATCAGGGTGTGCAACTCCGCCTGGTTCAAGTTAATATTTTAGTCAGTGAAAATTTCACTTCATTTAGCAATGCATTGACATATTTTAAAAATCAAACAACAGAATTAATAATGTAAAACATAAATTTTCCAACTTTTTGAGAGTGCTCCAAAAGTACTTTCTTTTGGGAAAGGGGGGCAGGTACCAGGGATTGAAATTAAGGTCACTGAACCACTGAGCCTCATCCCCAGCCCTATATTGTATTTTATTTAGAGAGGGGGTCTCATTGAGTTGATTAGCACCTGGCTTTTGCTGAGGCTGGCTTTGAACCTGTGATTCTCCTGCCTCAGCCTCCTTTAGCTGCTGAGATTACAGGCATGTGCCACCATACCCGGCTTTGAATGTACTTTCAAATTTTAAAAATTATAAGAGCATTACACACAATTTGAAAAAAAAATGTAAGAAATAAAACTACAAAATCTCTAGAAAAAAATGGAAGTAAATGTCCATGACCTTGAATGTAGAAGTGATTTCTGAGATATGACACTGAAAGTATAAATGATAAAAGAGAAAAATAGATAAATTAGATCTCATCTAAATTATTTTACATGAATGGACAACATAAATAAAATAAAAAAGTGAATGGGAAAAAGTATTTACATATAATATCTATGTCAAGGGACTTGGTTTTAGAATGCCTATAAAAAGACACATAGTATAATTTTTAAAATGGACAAAGTATGTAAAATGCTATGCTCAAAAGAGATACATATATTTTCAAGAGGTGCACAAAAATATCCTCAATATCACTAGTCATCAGGGAAATGCAAATCTAAATCACATTGAAACACCATTTCACATCCTCTGTGATGACTTATAAAAAAAGACAGAGGATGGTAAATATGGGTGAGGATATGGAAAAATTCGAACACATAATACTGATGAAATATAAAATGGTGCAGTCACAACAGGAAATTATCTTTCAGTTCCTCAAAAGTTAATATGAAATAAACACTTGATCTAGCAGATACACTCCTAACTGCAAACTAAAGACATATAAATATAAATGCATGGGAATTTATACACAGCTATACATAATAGCATTATCAATAATAGCTGAAAGTGGAAACTATCCAAATTTTCATAAGTGATGGATGGATAAAACAAATGTGGAATATCTGCACAATGGAATGTTATTCAGCCATAAAAAAGAATGAAATTCTGATAATTCTAATAGATACTATGACATAGATGAGCATTAAAAGCATTTTACTGAGTGAAAGAATGTAATCACAAAGAACATATGTTGCATGATTAATTCTATCTAAAAAACTTGGAATAGGCAAATTCATGGATAAAAAGTAGATTTTTGATAGGGATAGCATTGGAGGAGGGATTCTGGTAAAAGAGTGTTTTTTGCAAAGATAAAAATATTCTAATAATGACTCTAATGATAATTGCACAATGAAGTATGCGTGTGTGGATTGTGTTGAATGTGAAGTATTATTGATAAAGCTATTACAAAAAATGCATTGGAATTATGTTTTCTGGAGACATATGCTCCAATCTGCAATGGAGCTTTCTAGGTCTGGTACTCAGCTATCTTTCTGGAACTTTCCTTTGCTGTTCTACTGAGCATTTCCTTCTCCAAGTGGACCTCCTACTTCATGGATCCCTGCTCTCCAGTAGACTGCTGAGAATGAGTTCATAGATCTACATTTTTAAAACATTTGTATATTTTTAAAACGTGTTATTTCATTCTGATACCTAATGGACAGTTTAGCTGAGAATCCGTAAGTTTTCATGTCATTTTTTATTTAAGATTTAGAGACAAATTCTCCTCAGATTTCAGTTTTCAGCAACGTAGTAAAAATACAATTTTGTTTGGGTTTTCATCTCTATCGTCCTTTTTTTCTTCTCCAGAAAATCTCAGAATCTTCTCTTCATTCCTCCTGGAAAAATAGGCTTTTTGTGTATGAGTGTGTGTGCATGTGTGTGTGTGTGCATGTACTTGTGTTTGATCATTCATTGTTCTGACCTTTTTGTCTCTTTATTGGCCTTTTCTATACACAAAACTTATGTCTTTCAATTCTGGGAAATACTCTTTAATTTTTCTTTGATGGTTATTCTCAGTAATGACCTATCACTGTTAGTTAGGGAGTGGAAGTGAAATGCAACAAGGAAAATTAATTGGAACTTGGACAATACCTCAAGCTATCTACTGGGCAGAGTGGATAGGGAGAGAAGTCAGATAATGGGTACCAAAATAAAGTTAGCTAAGAGGAATTATCTCTTATGTCCTACAGCACAATAGAATAACTATGGCCTACAATAATTTATGACATATTTCAAAATACCTAGCAGAGTCTGAAGTTTCCTGATTTGTAGAAATAATATTTGAGAGGACGGAAATGCTGGTCACCCTGCAGGTACATACATGTATTGAATTGTCATTCTGTGCTTCATAAATATGTAAACAGTATTGATCAATTTAAATGAATGTAAAATAGAGGAAAAAAATCTAGGTGTAAATTCCTTAGTGACACAACCAATTTCATCCCTTTCATCAATGAGAAAAAGAGTGTTATTTTAAGAAATATTCTCATTTTTAAGAGTATTCAGTAAATCAATGGTTTCTGACTGTTCTGAACCTGTCTGTGGAGTGTTTGAGTTTGAGAAGCCTGGATAACTAGGGTCACTGTTTTCCAGGGCTTACAATGACCTTTACATAAAAGACAAGGTGTAGCTTTGCCTTTGACTAATGGCAAGAATTAAGACTGAATTTTAATAGTGACTATTCTTTACTGCGAGTATTCTGAGCAGCTAAAATTAACATGTGTGATGGACATAACCTCAGATGTAAATTAAATTTTTATCTAATTCTTAACAAGACCAGCAAGTACATGTCATGGTTACTGAATCTCAGCAAGGGATTCTAGAGATGTCAGTGGCTGAACCTGTATTTTGTGTTGCTTAATCAGAGGATTAAGGCCTCTCTCTTGGGGTCACGTCTGATAATAGCTCACCTGGCTTGCTGACATTCTGTTAAATCACAAAAGTTCACGGACTTCTTTTGTCTCATTGACCTCCTTTGTATCCTGTGTAAGAAGCAAAATTTCAAATCTTATTTACCTCATGATTGAAAAGAAACTTAAAATTCAACTAATTTAGGAACTCAAATAGCCCACAGAAAATGTGAGACTTAGAAATCATTCTGTTTGTCAACATTGATATACATGTGCCAGATCTTACAGGCCACATTTACACCCTTCAAGATCCTTGTACTGTGATAGTATCTCAAAATATTTGAAGGTCCTTCTATAAATTGGGACTACTCCCTCTTGGGCCCAGAATTTGAAGTAAAGGAGAGAAAGCAGAAGAAAGTTGAGATGCTGCCAGGAACTTCCAGTTTCCCAGAGAGGGCAAGGCATATGGAAAAATGATTTCAGAGCATTTGGAATGATTTGCTTTAATCTCAGTACTGGACCAAGTTAAAGCATCGGTTGCAAAATTTAACAAACTGCGGCCTCAGAAAGTAATACGTGGAGGAGTTGTGCTTTCCCCTAGTAGCTATTTTTGCTCTTTTTTTTCCTTAAGCAATACAGTGTGGTATTCTGATCCTATTTTTTCCCTGTGAGTGAATCCCATTTCTAATAACCAAGTAGAAATCAATGGGACCTTTCCCACTTGATGGCAATGCCTAATGAAGCTTCTGACTTGATTTAACTACAGGTCAAGCTACAGTGTGTTGGGAATACACTTTATATAAACTTTTATCTTTGTATGATAAAGTATATACTTTGCACTAGCTTTTGTAGCCACCGAAAATGTTGACAATAAAAAACACTTGTGACATATACACGTGTTACATAAGGCCTTGTTTCTGGTCTGTACCAACTGGGCCCAGGTTCCTTCCAGATGACAAGCACAGCTTGCTGTTTAAATATTGAATCAATAACTTAGAATGTAGTCAGTGCATGTTCTCTTTAGAAATATGGAATTTGTATTGCTTCAGATGACAATAGGCTGTTAAGACTGAGAAAGCAAAAATGTGACAAAAATATACAGTGACTCTTCATTCTCCCAACTCGTTGGCAGACATACAAAGTTGATGGAGGCCTATCTCTAAGTTCCTTCATTCCTTTCTGACAAGATGGCTTAAGGATGTGGCAGTATGAGGGTAAAAATCTTTTGGAGGCAAAGGACCACAGTTCATTTTTTTTTTAAATTCAGGCCAGTTCCTTAGCTTCTCTAAGCCTATTCATATGGTTATAAAATTGAAATTTCAAGAAACATGAAATTATTGTTAGAGCAGCATGAGATAATACAACACATTAGATATTTGGGAAGGATCAACAAATACTGGATTTTAAAAGGCAAGGAAACAGAATAACTGATGCAAAAGACACCATCCTAGGAATCACAGGATGCCTACCTTTGGCACTGACCTATTCTGATACTTTATGTAGGTCACTTTACACCCCTGAGCTTTATTTCCATTATAATTAAGAAATTTGGTGGCAACTAAGAGAGATCCATCTAAACTAGTTCCAATCAAAAGAAATAATTATTATGCCTCCCTTTGGAAGGGTGATACTATTACAAACTCAAATTGATATCATGTTAAAGAAAAGGCTATAGTGTATGTGACTCACAATAATGGATAGAAATTCTTTCTGTCAATCCAGGGCAAGAAATGTACCTCTCCTTTATGGGGCTGGGCCTAGAAATTCAGGACATGGAATAATTTGTCTTAGGATTTCAACATCTTTCCTCCACTTCTCTTATACTTTTGCTACATTTTCCCCCTTCTCCTCTCTTGACTATTTTTTTTACTTACTCTTCATAAGCATGTCTATTCCACCATAAAGGGATCTCACAAAAAGGAAGAGCAGTAAAGTATTATGGTTTAGATATGAGGTGTCCTCCAAAAGCTCATGTGTAAGACAATGCAAGAATTTTGAAAGGTGAAATGATTAGACTATAAGAATTTAAACCTAATCATTGGATTAACTGGGTGGTAACTATAGTCAGGTAGCATGTGACTGGAGGAAGTAGGTCACTGGAGGCAGAATTTTATGGTTTATATTTTTGTCCATCGTGAATGGAGCTTTCTCTCTGCCTCCTGATTGCCACATCCTGAGCTGCTTTCCTCTGCCATCCCCTTCCGCCATGATGTTTTGCGTCAGCTCAGGCTCAGACCTACGGAGTCAACCATCTATGGACTGAGACCTCAGAAACTAATGAGCCCATATAAACTTTCTCTCCCCTATGTTGTTCTTGTCAAGTCTTTAGGTCACAGTAATAAAAAAGTTGACTAAAACATAGAGTAAGTAGAAAAGTAGAAGGCAAGGAGATGAGGAAAGGGGGGGGAACTGGGGAATGAAGTCAAACAAATTATGCTATGTGCATGTAAGACTATATCACAATCAATTTCACTTTCATGCATAATTATAATGCACTATTTAAAAAAAATAAATAGATCAAAGACTTGTAGAGAAGGGGGCGGGTTTCACAGGGAGGAAGGATAGGAGGGAAAGAGGAAGCATTGGGGAAGGAAATAAAGCAAATAATGTTGTGTGCAGGTATTAAGATGTCACAATGAACCTCACTATTATGTGTAATTATAATGCACTCAAAACCAGCAAACAATCCCTTGCTACTCCATTACAACCACAACATTTCAATTGCATCACCCAGCATGGAATGACCAATGTCAGTCACTTTTGTCAAATTATTGAAGAAGAAAAATTATTTTATTTTACCGTATGGACTTGTTTTCTTTGATTGAGTGGTCCATCTTTAACAGCAGTTATTGACAAAACATAGAGTTGCATGGAGATGATTTATAGTATAGAGGTTTGCCTTGTAGGTGAATGAGTTAAGTTACACAGAAAATCTGAACACACTTATATATCTAGAACATTCTCTTTATACAACTCGTGAATGAGATAGCACTGTTCATGTTTAACATTATTTATTGGGTCATGAACCCAATTAGACTTCACTGATTTTGTAGTTCTGCTGCTCTCAACTTTTTACTTGTGAGATTTCACGTTCATAAACTGAATATTAGATAAATATAATCACCTTGAAAAAATAAACCATAACAAATAAGCTTAAGTTTAGCTTTGATCACCACCCCCTAATTTTTCTTCTCAGAGTAGGAACACATTATCATTTGATGTTTCCTTCCTGAACTTTTTCTATAAGTTTCAAACATATATCTGTACTCAGGAAGGAAATGTATAAATTAAATTATTTAAAATAATGTAATACATTGTTTTTTAATTTGTGTTTTTCACATGTCTTCAAAATTTTCCTTTTAAATAGACATATTTATTAATCTTAAACTATAGATGTAGTACCATCAGTGTTTTGTTTATATGACAAATTTCTGGAATAATAAACTTATAGAAAAGAAAATAATTTATTTTTGGATCATGGTTTCAGAGGTGTCAGACCATGATTAATTGATTAGCCCCATTATTTTGGAGGCTGTGGTAAGGTGACATATCATGGTGGAGGAGAAAACCTCTTACCTCATGGCCAGGGATTAAAAAGAGGAAAGGTCTGGGATCCTCTTACCCACTTACCCGGCATGGCCCAATAGCCTGAAAACTTATTACCAGGCTCTACCTTTTCAAGCCTTCACCACCTCTTAATAGGGGCTCAAAACTTTAAAACATGGAACTTTGGGGGACACTTACCCAAACCATAGCAATACTATTCAGATGTAAGTTTGTACTATAACTTGTTTAACCTTCATCCTATTGATGAACATATCATATTAAATGTTGCTGAAAATAATCTTCCATAGAAAGCATCTTTATGAGTATAGAGTATGTAACTTTGGACAGAAATGGCTCCAATGCAGTGATATCAGTTTCCAGTCTCAAAAGCACTATATGGAAGTTTCTGTGGCTTCACCTCTTCACCAGTACCTGGTGTTGTCTAATTTATCAGTTTCTTGCCTTTTTAAATTGGCTTACAAGAGCTTCCCGTTGTTTGCGTAGTCACTACTGAGATTGAAATTCTCGCCATGTTTGTTAGCCATCTCAGAATTGCCTGTTTGTGTCCTTTGCCAATTTTGCCATTGAATTGTTTGGTCTTTACTAATTTATTGTTTTGTGAATTAGTCTCTGTGTGTTCTGAAAAAAAAATAATCCTAAAGCCATAATATTTGGGGAAGATAGTTTCTCCCAGTCATCACTTGAACTAGAACTTGAAGTTTCCATTGCAAAGCTTTGAAAAGTTCTGATATATTTAAATACATTTATTTTTCTTTCAGTATAGCCTTTTCTTTTTGTTAAAAATGACTCACTGTTGCATCACACTTAAGTGACTTTAATAATGCATGCACATTCCAACCTCTTTCTAGTATACCTCCTGGTACCATAGAGATTGGAAAGCTAAAAGTGCCATTCCCTTGGTCGCTGGAGTGTCAGTGCAGATTAACTTCTCTTTATTAAATACACTTGTGCAAAACCTGAATTAGAACTGAGTGAAGCAGGGTGAAAGGCAGGGCAGGGGGCATCAGAAGTGAGAAGGTTCTGAACCAGTTGCTTACTTTCTTAATTAGGCAAGAAGTCTATGCATTGTGACAAAAGTTATCTTTGTACCTGCCCCACAGGATGGTTTTATGAGTCATCTGGAAGTTTTTCCCTATAGTCTTTCTATTGTGAGTCAGTTATTATCCTCTGTAAACTCCTTCCTATTTAAAGTGGTATGTGTAAATTTCGCTCTCTGCATACTAATACAGAACAATGCAGTTTATAAAGCCGCGTGTGCAGAAAAAACACTTTCAGCATCTTATGTCTCCTCTATTAACCTGTTCTGTCTGCTCATTCAGTTGACTTCTGGAGCAAAGCTGGACAGGCTACCCTGGAACACTTGGAGAACTGAAATTAAAGGAAGCATGGGAAGAATAAGTAATGATTCTAAGGGTAGGAGAGATGGATGCCACAATAGATATCACCCACTAGCTCGGTTGGAACTCTGTTCATTGCTTACTATTGATATCTTTCCTGAATTTTCTAGATTTAATATTTTCAGTTTGTTTCTCAGAAATTTTGAGACAGATTATTAATTAATAAAT